TTAAAACATCAATCACTTCGTGGAAATATGCAAATCGACTGGTCCGAATTCGAAAAGAAAGCAAACGAAAATGTTTTTGGTCATTATCATTCGAAATCTGCAACAGCTATAGTTGGATATGCAATTAATCTTGGAAAGTTTTCTTGTTCAAGTAAATTATTTTTCAATACTGAACCATTATGGAGACATGATATTGAAAATAAACGTATTAATATAACAATATTAATGAATGAAATAAAAGAAAATCTCGATAATAAAATGAAAGATTATTATGGAAATACTGAACCGAATAATTCGAGTGCACATTTTCTTTTACATAGGACTGTTGCTGATATACTTGAAGCAAACTATCCTAATGATGAACTAATGAATGAACAAATGATTATGGATTGTATGATTGATATTGGTCAAACTACAGGAAGAAAAGGAAATATTTATGCTGATGATGTTTTTCTAAAGATTGTTTTAACAATTGAGTATTATTTAAAATTTCGTAAAACAACAAAAAATATGATGAAAGTCGATGATGAAATGTTATCACGTTCATATGAATATAAAATTAGAGCAGAATTAATTGCTAGTGGAATGGAATATAATGAAAATACAAATGAAATTTTATTCGAATCTTCAAAATTAACAACTCCACATATGATTGAATTAGACAAAAGTGAAATTAATTTTAATGAATTAAAAAAACGTGTTCAAGAACTTTACATGGCTTCAAAAACTAGTTCAAATAAAAATATCAGTCAAACATGTTTGAATATTGAAATAAAAGATTTTATTGAATTTGGCTATAAAATGAATGCTGATGATCTTTTACCTATATGGGCACAGTACGTATTCGATTTATAGAAACACTATTTATTATTTATACAATGCTGAAAGTCCTTAGTATTCACAAATCATCATCGAGAGAAAAAACTATTTCAAATTTAGCAGAGCTGAGAAATCAAATATTGATTTTGGGTTAGGATAACGGATGGTATAACTGAAATATCATTTGCGAGAGGAACATACTCCAATGTGAGTCACTATTGTCAATCAACTTTTAACCAATTTGTAGAGTTCTGAAAAGTGTTTGTGTTGCTATAAAAATGTTTTTCTCTACTAAATGTCTTTGAGTAGTAATGTTAGATTTCAAAGTGAGAAAAATGACAGAAAGCTTTTAGGAAACTTTAGTTTAAATGTTAGTTAGGATCGTCGATAGTTTTTTTTAAGTGAAACTGGCTAAAAATATGACAGCAAGTCGAAGAGCATCCGTCTGGCAGATAGTTACTTGGAAAAGCTGCCTTCTTGAACTTGACACACAGTTTTGAGATAGCATCTCTAACTTCTCATAGCCGAGACGTGAAGCGTGAAGTAGGCACCAGTTTACTTCACCCCCCTCTAAAAAAGAGACCTATGATATTTGTTTAGTTTTCAGCATTAAAAATAATTACGTCTTTACTTTGAGTATTTCAATGCCATTATTATTGTGGATATTCGAAGTTGAACTTTTTTTTTAAAATTCATCTTATTTTTATTTATATGTTCACATAGTTAGAACATATATTACAAATACATGTTGACTCTGTTTAAAATGTCTACCTTATCTATTGTAGTTTTTCGCATAAAAATGTGAGAAAACAACTAAATCGAATGTGTACTATTGAACAAAAGATATCTAGCAAGATTTTCATTACTAAGTCTTTAAAATAGTATTACCAGAGAATCGCGATCAGTTTTGGAAAAAAAACAGTTTGGTTTCGTACATCCGAATTATAAAATGATATTGAAACATTCAAAGTATAGACTTTGTAAGATATTCTATCTATTTTCATTAACTGGATGCATATAGTCAATTAAGACGCATCGAGTGTTCAAGCTTTCAATGCTTACAACTAAACTAACATAAAAATTAAAAAATTCTGAAATAACAGCTTAAAGTCATTTTTCCAAAGTCTAGATCGCCCTAACTTCTGGATGACAGTCTGTGGCGAAGAACATAGCATGCAATCGTGATCAGTTCATTGAGCTCTACAAACTGGCATAAAGCCTATTGAAACAGTTACCTCGTTAGCCAGAAGCACATTTGTCAGTTCTTTTTTTTATTTCTTCCAGGTCACTAGAATTGACGGTGAGTAAAACCAACTCCTAACACTTAGGTATGGTGATACAAAATGATATAATATTTCTTTTCATTTTCTTACAGTAGCTAAAAATAGTGCCCATCAAAAAGTTATCTTCTTTTAACGAACTTGTGAAATCTACACTTATTGATGATAGATTCTGTTATTTGATTATTTCTATTGAATTGTATTATCCTTCATATATATTTCATCTAATGATTGTTTGTTGAGGAAAAATCATAGTTCTGATGTTAGCTTTCATGAATCCAGAAATGTCTAATGCGCTATAATTTTAGACGGACAGATATGCATATAACATTTATAGAAGGAAGTGATCTTGTTTTTAAAATATTCTAGAGAACAAGAGAATATTGTTTCATCAATTATCACTGATATTGATCAAATCAAACAACCAATAAAATATATAGCTGGTTTAGATATAAGTTTTGTTAAAACAAATGATAAAGCTGTCGCATCGATGATCATCTTTGAATATGAAACATTAAATATCGTAGCTAAAATAAGTGTTAATTGTAACATGAAAATTCCATATATAGCTAGTTATTTAGCATTTCGTGAAGCTCCAGTTTTTATGAAATTAATCGATATTCAAAAAGAACATTGTCCTCATTTAACACCTCAAGTTATTCTAATGGATGGAAATGGTGTTTGGCATCCACGTCGTGCTGGCATTGCTTCACATTTTGGTGTTTTAAGTGGAATTCCATGTTTCGGTGTATCGAAAAATGTTCTTTATGCTGATGGTATTACACGAGAGAAAATCGAAGATTTATTAACTGAAAAAGCACCTGGAGAAAATCAATATATTGAAGTTATAGGTGATAGTGGAAATGTTCTTGGCTTAGCTTATAATGTAACTGGTTCTGTAAAAAATGCTGTTTATATTAGTGTTGGACATAAAATAAGATTAACAACAGCTTGTGATATATTTAAATCAGTAACTAAATATCGCAATTGCGAACCAATACGACAAGCTGATTTCCTTAGCCGAGAAATGGTTGCAAAACTTTCATAAACAGAGCTTTTTTGAAATGCTTCTCTACTAATGTTGAATGTTGTTAAATAAAACTTAATCTGGCTTTTGATTTTGAAAAAACTTTTGTCAATATATGAAAAATACTAACGTTAGACATTTCATTTTTTTTTTGTCTTCGCACTTTTTATTCAAGATTATTTCCAAGACAGATAATTTATTTTCACGTTAATATAAAACAAAATGAAAACGACAACATGCTTATTTCATGCTCAAACTACGAGTGCATACAATTTTAGTAACTCTGTGTATTTACGCAATCGGTCTCTAGCAAATTATTGTATGATTCTTCATCATTATGTGCTATTGTATGAAAGCTATATGTAGTGTTGTGCGGTTTCATTAGCCAACTTTAAAGCTATTCTAAAAATAAAAAAGGTACGCTGCGGAACTTCGAAAAATTTCCGAGAACTGAAACGAAATCGAAACTTTTTAAAAGGGCGTGTACGAACTACAAAACTGTTTTCACGTATCTTAGAGCTTCATGAAACTCTAAGAAAGTTTCCCATGTTTTTCCGATACTTTCAAAAAGATTTAGATTTCATTTCAATTTTCGAAACTTAAAAAACAATTTTATTTTCAGTGTAGTGTTTTGGAGAGAATTGATTTGGAAGAATCTTATTTGATTTTCAATGTTAGACCTTTTACGAGCCTTTAAAACTCATGTAAGATCATCTGATTGTACAAGATTAGAGGTACACTCTAACAATATCTTACTAGTCGACTAATTGGTCTAGGTTAGTTACCTCAAGACAGTCTTCTATCTTGAATAGTATATGTATGTAGGTGTCAGTGTGGGTAGGGATGCACCAATTCTAATTCCCACCAATTCCGATTCTTGGAATTGGTTGGAATTGTTCGGTTTAGTCTGGAATTGCCGGTATTGGTCGCAATCAGCACCGATTAGGGGTAGGTATGTCACAATTCCAATGTAATATTGACCTATTGGTATTGAATGGTATTCGTATTGCTATATCCCTATTTTTTCGCTAAAGGAGGGTTTCTTAAGAAAATAATAATTTTTTATAAAGTTTGACCAAAGGTTCTCGGGGTCGACGAATCCGAATCTGTAATCAATTTCTTCAAATTTTCAGCTTGACTTATTTTACTAAAAATTTTTTTAGCGAAAAAAATCGTTTTTCTGAAAAAACATTTTTTTAAGTGAGAAAGTGATTTTTCTCCTTAACCCTTTCGCGGCGATGGGCCCCACCGGTGGGACCCACTACAGGATGTCCCCAAAATAATGATCACTTAGCAAATGCATATAACTCCATTATTAATCAAGCTTTATCTAATAATTCTTTTTATTTGAAAGAGGAGAATAGTAAGTTTTTTTTTCATAAACACAAAGTTCATAAATATTGCTCAAAGGTATTACCTTTTACTTCAATACAAAAATTTAGACGTTTTACAATTTCTGAAAAAACATCTTGTAAAGTTTCTTGTTTTATTATTTCGATTTCTTTCGCTATGCTAGTCTTAAAATCATGTAAATCTTGTACTGGTGTTTTGTAGACATTTGTTTTAAGAGGTCCCCATAGATAGAAGTCCACTGGTGTTAAATCTGATGATCGAGGAGCACATGATATTGGTCCACCTCTTCCAGTCCACCTGCCATCGAAGACTTTGTTAAGCCAGGAACGGACCGCTTTCGAAAAATGTGTTGCTGACTTCATCTTTCCAATAAATGGTATTTATTGTCATTGGCTCTTTGAAAGAAGCCAAGTTTCCATTCAAACTAATCGAAACTAATAAAAATCTGATAAACGTTTAAAACTATCTTCGTATAAAACATGCCTCTCAGTTTGCAATTAAAAATCAGAATTGTGATTTTAATGGCAACGTTTAAATCTCATATAACGGTTCGACGACATTCACAACGAGAAGATTTTGCCCATGTTCCGCCTGTGCTTACTATCAAGCGAATTTATAACAAGTTTCTTGAAACAGGTTCGGTAAAATATCGTGATAATCCACAACGGCCAGCTGCTACAACGACGAAAAAGATAAATGAAATTGCTGAAATTTTAGCAACAACGCCTATCAATAGCGTTCGTCTTGTTTCACAACAAGTGAACTTGTCAAAATTTGTCGTTCATCGTACAATGTGAAATGTTCTGAAGTACAAGCCGTACAAAATGTATTTAACACAACAATTATACGATGATGATCAAGATTTACGTGTAAATGTGTGAACTTTTAATACCAAATCCTGAAGATAATGATGGATTAATATTTTTTTTCGGATGAAGCTAATTTTCATGTTTCTGGAATAGTCAATAAACATAATTGTCGTATATGGTCCTAAAAAAATCCATTCGTTACTGTTGATATTGCAACAAATTCACCAAAAGTTTCCGTCTGGTGTGCAATGTCAAATAAACAAATTATTGGACCATTTTTTTTCGATGATGAAACAGTTACTCAGGATAATTATCTTGAAATGCTTCAGAATTACTTTTATCCAATTTTACAAAAGAAAAGGTTAACAAAGTCCATCATTTTTCAACAAGATGGAGCACCTGCACATTTTTCGAAAATGATCCGTTCCTGGCTTAACAAAGTCTTCGATGGCAGGTGGACTGGAAGAGATGAACCAATATCATGGGCTCCTCGATCACCAGATTTAACACCAGTGGACTTCTATCTATGGGGACCTCTTAAAACAAATGTCTACAAAACACCAGTACAAGATTTAGATGATTTTAAAACTAGAATAGCGAAAGAAATCGAAATAATAAAAAAAGAAACTTTACAAGATGTTTTTTCAGAAACTGTAAAACGTCTAAATTTTTGTATTGAAGTTAAAGGTAATACCTTTGAATAACATTTATGAACTTTGTGTTTATGAAAAAAAACTTACTATTCTCCTCTTTCAAATAAAAAAAATTATTAGATAAAGCTTGATTAATAATGGAGCTGTATGCATTTGCTAAGTGATCATTATCTCGGGGACACCCTGTATAGAGTGGTCCAAAAGCTCGCTTATCGTAGAAAAAATTGAATATCTGTGCAGGTGTGGGTGGTTTTGGGTGCTAGAGTGAATGTGTGGATGTGAGTGTGTCGGTATGGATGTTGTTGTGGACGTGGGTGTGGAGTGTGCGCATCGATATTTCTTCTCGCCCTCCCATATAAACATCCACGCCCACACCCACACACCCACTCACACCCACACCCACACTCACACCCAATTTAAAGCAACAACCGAAACAAATATGTATACATTTGATATAACAGACCTATATACCATGATCCCTCAAAGAGACGCAATAATGACTGTATATGAATTTTTAGGAAGATACGGCTATAGAAAAATTGGTGGTCTATCGATTAATACAATAAAGGTTTTATTCCTACACGTATTAGAGAACTCATGTTTTGTTCTTCAATTACCAGGATTAAAACCAAAATATTACCAGCAAATTAGAGGAGAAGCAATGGGGTCAGCATGTACTCAGGTACTAGCCGACATCTACATATGAAAATGGGAATATAATTTTGTACAAGAGCAACATCGTCAACATGAATTGTATTATAGATTTCGAGATGATATCTTTTTTACTAGCAGATTATCATCAGAACCGATAGAAAAGACCTTGCAAGACTTAAATAAGAAAGATCCTAATATAAGTATAACTTGGGAAAAAGGAAAAACAATCGAATATTTAGATGTGAAGATTAGCATAGAAGTTCCCAATTTTAGAACAACAGTATTCCGAAAATTAGCAGCACAATCATATATACTCCCATTCCACTCGTCACACCCTCCACACATCACAAAAAAATATACCATATGCCGCAGCTCTACGAGCAACACGCATATGCTCGCATCCAGAAGACCTTCAACGTGAACTGGAAATAATTCGAATAACTTTGCTACTGAACAAATACCCACCACGGTTTATTGATAAACGTATAGGACGTTTTTGTGAAGGCTTGGCAGGAGAAAAAACATCAGAAAAACTCTTAGGTAAAGATCACTCAAATTTTAGGGAATTAGTATTGAATGTAGCATGGAATAAAAAAGAAAGAAGAGAAATTAATTTCAATACAGATATTCTTCTACATTTCACATACACACCATCGTTAGCTAACTTTGGTTCACATTTCCATAAAATATGGCAAGAGATATTCTATGGCACACCACTAGATGATATACCGGTCATGTATGCAAATCGGCTGACTGATAGTCTCAAACATCTACTGATGCATAAAAAGCCGAGCAAAGAAGCAATCAGACTCCTCCCAACATAACCAGATAACAAAACGATCAACAGCATCCAAGTATCAATCGAAGATAAAGAACAGAAAGATCAAATATAATTACAATTAAAATTAGCAAAAAAAATAAGAAAAAGAAAATAACTTAATCTATATCTTATAGAAGACCCGATCGGCAGATACTAACAGCAGAAAAAACAAAAACACAATACAAAAAAGAGAATAATCAAAAAATTATTAACAAATATCGATCGTACATTTAAAAAAGTGCTCCCTTATGGATAAATATATTTAATCACAAGACGGATCTTAATCTATATCTAACAAACAAAAAAGAAAATTCAATCAACAAAATATTAATAAAATAAAAAATATTTATAGAAGTAAAAAATAATAAAAAAAGAAAAATAGAACAAGACAAATTAAAAGAATAAAAGAGAACAAATAAAAAAAAGAAAAAATAATAAAACAACCTAAAGAAAAAAGAACAAATAATAATAAAAGAGAACTAACCAGTAACACTACTAGAAAGTTAACCAATAATCATTAACATAAGATACATTACTCAGGTGAATCTATTTCTTTTTTCTTTATTTTTCTTTCTTTTTTATTTTAAAATACTATCTTACCAGATCTATTATAAAATTCTAGCTTATCATATCTATTGTAGAAATACTACTTATACTGTCTATTGTAAAATACTACTCGCCCTATTTATTGTAAAATACTGTCTTATCATATTTATCGAAAAATTCTATCTAATCATATCTACTGGAAAACACTGTCTTCTCATATTTATTGTAAAACATTTCTTTGATATTTCTAACTCTCTAAAATTATTGTAAGCAAATTATTGTAAGCAGATCTCGTCGTCGTCTTACCTTACTTTACTATATTGATGGCATAGTATACTACTACCATACTAATCACAACAATTACAACTAAAAATGCATTAAAATGTATTGAGATACATTATGAAACATTATGAAAAGTTAAAACAGCAGGATGAAACGCAAAAAAAATGCATTGAAATGCATTATGAAAAATTAAAACAACAGAATGAAAGAACAGATCAATATCCAGAATCTCACTCGTTGTCCCTGCAACATACAATTCAATTATTTTTCTTGTCCACAACTGTACTGAACTCTATAAAAAATCGCTTGAAAAAGAAATAATTCGAAAGGTCTCGCGTTATTCATATTAATATTCTTGTTACTATTTCTCTTCCTTTTGTTTTTTTCTTCTTCTTCTCTTATTATTTTTCTATTTTGTTACGAATAATAAAAGTAGTTAAAAAAAAAAAATGAAAAAAATCACAAAAAATTATTATTTATTTTGTTCATTATTGTTCTCATTTATTATTATATTATTATATTATTATATATATATAAATAACACAATCGTGTTGACTTGTCAAAGTAAAAAGAAACAGCATTGTTACTAATCAAAACCTTATGAGTAACTTTACTTTTTTTCGTAACCGTTCAAGATAATCTAGATTTTATAGTTAGTAACACCGCTCAAGAAGATTTTAATGGAATATTTTTCAGATACACGACAAGCGCATTATCTCTGAGTAATCAACAAAATCGAACCATTTGTGGGGACCATAGAAAAATGTTGAATAACAAAAAGGAAATTAGACGAAGATGAACTTCCATTTTTGATCGATATCTCATAGAATTCGAACGAATAGTTCTCATGTACTTTTCCAAAACAGAAACGCTTTGTCCCTAGCAATTGGAAATCTTTGTCTACACAGAATGAAACTTTTTCTTTTTTTAAAACATTATATATACATCAGAGTATTATGTACAATTTCCAAATATTACATTTTTCTAAACTTTCAGCACATGTATGTGAGTTTTCTAGTAAATCAAAATAAAAAAAGATGTAATCCGCAGTTTACGTAAGTATGTGCAAGTATTATAACGAGGTATAGTGAATACAATCGTGAATTGGTTATGTTTTTCAACAGAATTCGTCATTTTCTAAAATTGAAAATTATTCTGAATTCGATATTATGCAGAAAATGTTGATGCAGTCTGCTTATATATTAGTAACTTTATTTTTCATTCGAATACAATCTAGAACTAGATGACTAATGAATAATACCCCGGATTGGTAAATTCAGAAAGACTAATAAAAGAATCAAACAATGAAATTTAACCAGTTCGCTATATGTATCTATACAATAAATTCAACATGGAGGAAAAAGAAACGATTTTGTTTATCGAATAATTCTTTTATTGTAAAGTCTTCATTGTAGCTGATATTTATCTAAATACTTTACAGTAAATAAGCTTTGAATTTTAATTAGATAAATTTAAGAAATAGCTTGAATGGCATCTGGTAGTACAACTTGGTCAGTACTAGTGCCCGGCGTGACCAACTTTTTTGGTCACGGTCACGACAAGTTGGTCACGGTCACGGTCACGGTGAGCCCAGGCCGTGACCGTGATCGTGAGTCACGGCCCTTTTCATGGTTTCTCAACATGAAAAAAAACTTTCCAGAAAGAGCTATTGCAATGTTTCCTTGCCCGATTCTTTATGGATTCAGTCAGAATCCTTCCAGGATTCGCTTTTTCCTGAGGGAACGGCGAAATCCTGTAAGAAGTGTGTATTCACGAAGTTTCAAGATCCTAACAGA